TAACCATTTATAGATCCTGGGCCTCTGAGCAAACACTAAATCTTTGGTCTTTGAATAATTTATTTGTAGCATTTCCTCTTTACAGTATAGTGGTGCCTTGAGTTGCGAACTTAATTCGTTCCAGATGATGGTTGTAACTCAAAGCACATTTTCCATAGTAATACACTGAAAAGTGATCAATCAGTTCTTCCTGTTTTTGGTTGCATCTCAAGTTGCTGGTTGTATCTCAAAGCATTAGTTCCCATAGGAACTAATGCAAAAGCGGTTACTCCGTCCACTAGGGGGATACTTTTTTAAAAACCTAAAATGACCTCTAAGGTTAAAAAAGGGCAGGAAAGGAGGGAGGGAACAATGGGGAAAAGAGGCTTTTTTCGAGTTGCATCTCAAAGGGCCGGCTGCAGGTCAAAGCAAAATGTTGCGACTGGAGCTGGTTGTAACTCGAATTGGTTGCAAGTCAAGACAGCTGTAAGTCAAGGCACCACTGTATTGAGCAAAAGCACATAATGCTCTCTTTAGTCCTATTGGTGTCTGTGAAATTAGGACTGCGTCATCTGCATATAACAGAAGGGATATACAGTGGTGCCTCGCTAGACGCTTACCCCATTAAACGACGAAATCGCTTGATGATGCCTTTTTTGCGATCGCTATAGCGATTACAAAACGATGTTTCCTATGGGTTTTTTTTGTTTAATGATGATTAGGTCCCTGCTTCGCGAACCGATTGTTCGCAAGACGATGATTTAAAACAGCTGATCGGTGGTATGCAAAATGGCTCCCCGCTGTTTTCGGGACCTATTTCAGCAAGACAGGGGTCGCAAAATGGCCACCCTATAGAGGATACCTGCACGGGATCGCAAAATGGCCACCCTATGGAGGATACCTGCACGAGCAGGTATTTCCCCCATTGAAACACATTAATTGGTTTTCAATGCATTCCAATGGGGTTTTTATTTTTGCATGATGACAATTTCGCTGTACAGCCATTTTAATAGAATGCATTATCGTCGTCATGTGGGGCACTGCTGTATGTCTATTCGCTAGTTTGGGGGGATGGAACTCCGGCCGGCTGAGCGCTGTTACCATTGAGTTGATATAAAAATTAAATAACAATGGAGCTAATATACACCCTTGCTCACACCATTATAGGTAGGAACTTTATCAGACAAGTGTCCTTCCTTGTTGCATCTAATTCTGAGGGTTGTATTTTCATGCAGCTTATATATAAGCAGCAGAAGTGTCGATCTACTGTGGAAGACTCTTACTCCAGATTCAGTCTTGTGAAATTAAATCAAAAGCAAATCTATGATTGATAAAGGCGGCAAACAGGGATGCTGAATTCATAAAAATTGGCTTTTAAAAAATCCAGCATGTGTGTGTGGCTACACACTGCTTTGATTTCCTTTGAAATCAAGAATTCTAGTAGAATATGGTCACTCTCGCCCAGAGTTCCCTTTACTGCCTCTTCCTCCACCAAGTTGTCTTTATTGGTTAGTATCAAGGATAGCTAGTCCTCTAGTTTCTTTCTCCACTTTTTGTATGAGAAAGTCATCACCTACACAAGCCAGGAATTTCTTGGAAGGACCATACTTTGCAGAATTTGCCTTCCAACAAATATTTGAATAATTCAAATCTCCCATTACTACTACACTGTGTCTCTTTGACAACCTTGCAATTTGTTTTTCAAAAGTTTCATCCACATCCTCTCCTTGATTGGGTAGCCAGTAGTAGATTCCAACTACTATGGTCCTTTTGTTTTTCCCCTCAGCTAGATTGATTCAGATGTTCTCAATGGGACATCCAGTCTCCTCCTCCTGTATTTCTGTGCAGGAATGCATATTTTTACCTATATTGCAACTCCACCTCCCTTTCTATTCTCTCTGTTCTTTTTGAACAATTTATATCCTTCAAGAGAGCAACTGCAGTCGCGGGAGTCATCCCACCAAGTTTCAATTATTCCTATCAAGTCATATTTGCCCTCCCGAATTAAAATTTCCAGTTCTTCCTGTTTGTTTCCCATACTCCTGACATTTGCCCTCCAGAGACTGTGTGATTTTTGGACTGTTTGTCTTTGTAATTATTTATGAATATTATTATTTCTATTACTATTATTGACCTCCATTTGAACAGTTTGGTCTGCCCCTCTTATTGTGAGTCCTTCCCCCTTCCAATTAAGTTTAAAGCCTTGAAGATTATATAATTATGATCCTGACTATAGTAAAGAAATGAACAGAATAATGCAATGCATATATCAGAAATAAATGCCATTTAATACAATAGGACTTGATCTCAGATGTAGACAGGATTGTAGCCTGAATTCTGTATTAACTATTTACATAACTGGATTCAGTTGGTGAAGGATTCATATGTATTTAATATTGCTGAGATAATGTTAAAACCTGATCGAAGGGGATTAATTGCATAACTCTACTATATTTTTCCTTGCAACTACAATAAGTACACCATTATGTACTCTAATAATTACATTACAGTGGTGCCTCACTTGACGTTAATCTTTTCCAGTGAAATCACTGTAGAGCGAAATCGTCGTCAAGTGAAATAAAAAAGCCCACTGAAATACATTGAAAACCGTTCAATGCGTTCCAATGGGCGAAATACCTGCTCGTCCAGCGAAGATCCTCCATAGGGCAGCCATTTTCCAGTGCCTGTATAGTGAGAAATCCATCCTAAAGCACAGCGGGGAGCCATTTTACACAGCGAGCGGCCATTTTGGAAACCCGAAGATCAGCTGTTTTCATCGTTGTAAAGTGAAAAAATCGGTTCCCGAAGCAGGGAACCGATCATCGTAAAGCGTTTTCCCCATTAAAACATCATTTTGCGATCGCAAAAGCGATTGCAAAAACCTAATCGTCAAGCGGACTCATTTAACGAGGTAATCGTTAAGCGAGGCACCACTGTACTAATTACCTAATAAATGGCTTTCAAAGGATAGCTATGTTACTTTGTAACCTATTGCAACAAAATCAATGAAGAGTCTGTGGTACCTTCAAAACTAAGAAGTTTCATTTAGCCTAGACTTTGGTAGCCTGTAGCCCATAACTCCACATGTATTTTTAAAATGTCAGGACTCTTGTTTTGTTAAAATATTTCTAAATATGTATTTCAATAGGTTGTTAAAATTATCTATATAAGTAGAAGCATAGCAGTGATTCAGTGCCCTTCTTTCCAAAGCAACTGTGGAGTCATAGTGATAGAAAATGTATGAATGCCATGCTTATGAGGAGACCTGGAAGAGTGATGCAAAATGATGAGAAGTAGTTGCCAACATTTTGGCATCATGCCTCCTTTTTTGTTACTGAGAAGCCTTCAAATCTCCTCACTTCTTAACTGCCACTTTAACAAAATAAAAAATAAAAATAAAAATGCAATTTAAAATTAAATATAAATGCAAAAATGTAGGAACCAATACATTAGAAAACAATGAAAATGATATTCTTCTGCATTTCAGTAAATTTTTATACATACCAACTTTTCTAAAACTTGTTGCATCTGAATGTCACGTATTTCCTTCAACTGATCTTGGCTCATCCCTTTCCATCGATTAGCAATTATTCGACCTACACCAAAGGAGCTGACAGCCTGCTGTGGGTTTTCAGACAGTAGGTCTCCTTGAAGCAGATTGAAAATCTCAGCAGTATTATCCTCTTCTTGTTGTTGCTTTTCTAAATGTCTTTTTTCTTTAGATTCAGCAGCCTTAAAAATGTTAGTGGCAAAATTTTAGAAAAATGGAAAACCATGATAGCCACACGATAGATACACATCTTTTCAACTTCGTACTACCTACTAAATCAGTAGTGGATATTCTCTAGTCCAGAGGTCCCCAACCCACGGTGCGCGGCCCGGTGCCAGTCCATGGCCTGAGCTGGACCAGGCCATGGAGACAGACCTCCTGCCCTGCCCCCCGCACGCACTCATCCTTGCACAGCTGATTCGTGCATGCACGTGCGCTCAAACGTACCCATGCGAGTGCCATTTGTACATGCGCATGAGTGCAAGTGCAGCCAGAAAAGCGCTGTGCTGCCATTTGTGCACATGCATGTGTCCCTGCACAAGCACTGTGCTGCCATTTGCGCATGTGCACGAGCACTCGTTTGTGCGAGAGCATGCGCTTTTTTGCACACAAGCACGGGGGGTGCCCCGCCTTCCCCAGCCAGTCCACGGGGTGAAAAAGGTTGGGGACCCCTGCTCTGTAAAGTGCAGCCCAGCATGCCTCTCTGTCCCTGTATCAAAGCCACAGTTCTTTTAATTCCCCACTGTATAGTTACTGGAATTATTCACTTGAATTTATTCATTTCTGTACTTCTGCTCTGATATGCTGTTCCATCAGAACTTTACTTATTTTAGTTGGTGTTGTTTGGTTTTTATAGTTATATTATGTTTGTGTTAACTTGTTTTTATATGTGTATTGCCCAAAATAGTGCTGCGCACTAATAGGGTGGTATATAAATGAAATCAATGAATTAATTTACTCAGCCTAAGAAAATATTGCTCGTTAAACATCCTCTTGCTGTTACTCCAACCTCTATTTTCCTTTCCTCCCCAAACCACCTTTAGACTACATTGGGATCCAGCCCTGTTTTTTAGTTTCTGTTACACTGTCAAGTGCCAAGAACACTGACTTTTGCAAACAAATTACAGTAATTACTGTTTTCAAAAAGCAAGGGCCTAAACAATGTGATACATAAAACTACTCAAATTGAAAGGCATTTAACTCATTCTAATAACTGAACTATGCTGCTCACAATTTATATGCTACCACAATAAAATATTAATTACCTCTTTATTCATTTTTGATATGTAAACTACACCTTTTGATTGAATGATCCCCATGGTGGCTTGTAAGAGACAATAGTAACATAGAACAGATATTAAAACTCACAAGTGATATGTTGTGAGGAGGTTCACTACCTTCCTTAGGCGGTCCCTCATTTTCCGTGGGAAATAACAAAGTCTTAGTCTTTATAATGCTCGGACTTCTTTATTGTCCCCCACATCCAAAAGCACTTCGCTTCACGGTAACATTGGTTCCAACTTTGGCAACAGGCCACTATCAACATTCACAAAACTTTTGTTATAGTCCCAAGGACTTATTGGCGAAACATCCCACGCCGCTCCTTGACCTCCGATCGCGGGGGTGGGGCACTCCTCATTGCACAGATCGTCCCACAACATGAGTGCCTCACCCACCCCCTCTCGTCTGGTCCCTCAGGGAAGGATGCCGCCGACTTCTCCCACTCCCGCCGCAATTCAGCCTCTTGCAGAGTCACGATGACAGACCATTCCTGTGCTACCATTCGTTTAAGCTCCCCCTCTCCAGCAGCTGGATTGGGGAGAAGTCCACCAATTCTCAAGTGTGGGAAATCCTTTAATAGTCCTTGGTCACGGACTTTCTCAAATGCCCTACGTCTTTCTTCTTTCTTTCTTCTTTCATATCTCTCTACCACTGTGTCGAACCAAACTACTCCCTCCTCGCTTTTATCCTCTTGCCATACTGACCCCTCTTGCTCCTCCCACTCCCCCTCTGCCAGACAGATCTCCCACTTTCCCGCCTTTTCCTCAACTGTCACTTTCTCCTCTGTTCTGTTATCGCTCCCTATCACTCCCTGGTGTTCCCCTCTTTTTTCCTTCTCCTCCATTTTGTCTTTCGCGGACAGCTCACTCTTTTTATCTGTTCCTTCACACGCCCCCCCGGAGCAGTGGGCCGTCCGCTCTTCACCTTTGGCTTCTTCCCCTTCACCCTGTCGTGAAAAATAATCAGTGTTAGCATGGCTTAAACCCTTTTTGTATTTCACCTGAAATGCAAATGGTTGTAAACTGAGATACCACTGGGTCAATCTGGGATTGGAATCTTTCATCCTATTTAACCACTGCAATGGAGCATTGATCTGTCATCAATGTAAAGGGAGCCCCCAGTAAGTAATACTTTAATGTTTGAATTGCCCATTTAGCTGCCAAAGCTTCCTTCTCTATGGTGGCTTATTTTTGTTCCCTGGGAGTCAGCTTCTTGCTCAAATACATGATGGGATATTCAATTCTGTCACGTTCCCGGGGGTTACAATAGCCGAAGTCCGATAAACCAGTCCAAGGTCAGAGATACCAAGAATGCAAAGCCAAAGTCCCGAAACAAACTTACAGAGTGCAGTCCAATGTCAAAGTCCAGGGTCAGATACACAGTCAGAGTCCAGAGTTCAGAATACAATACCAGCGCAGTCCAGGGTCAAGGTCCAGAGTTCAGAGACAGGAACAAGAGATGTGGATGCCAGCCAAGGTTTTGACTCCTTGTTTCCACGAAGTTTCTGGCTTCACTGAAGCTTGTTTTATACTAAAACAGCTCCTTGAGCTGTTGGAAAGCTCTCTATTCTGCTAGTACTCAGGACTAGGTGAACGTAGGTCCCTGTGGAAAGCCTTAGAGCGATCCTCTGCTCTTCTTGCCCTGAGTCTTTTCCGAAGCCTGCCCCGAAGCCTGTCTGCTGTGGAGGGAGAATCTGGAGGCTGCTCAGCTGTTTCCGATCTCTCCACATTCTCCTCAGCCATTGTTAACCCTTCTGGGTCCAGATCTTCGGAAGCACTCATGACAAACTCCTCCTTTCGTTTGTGCTAAGATAGCTCCAATCCCCCTATCCGATGCATCAGTCTGCACTATGAAAGGAATCGAAAAATCTGGAGTATAATGCTTGGGAAGCTTATTGAGAATCGTTTTCAATTTGTCAAAGGCCCTTTGCTCTGATACCCCCCATTTTACCAATTTGGTCATTTTCTTTTTCGTAAGGTCAGTAAGAGGGGCTGCTATCTCTGCAAAATTGGGCACAAATTGTCTATAATACCCCGCCAGCCCTAAGAACTGTTGCACTTCCTTCTTTGTTCTTGGCGTGTGCCAATCTGTTAACTTCTCTACTTTCTCTGATATGGGTTGTATTTCTCCTTTGCTCACTACATGTCCTAGAAACCGAACTTTCTCATGCACAATTTTACATTTAGCTGGATTAACGGTTAATCAAGCCTTCCTGAGTTCTTGTAATACTTGTGTTATATGCTTTTCATGATCATCCCAACTTTTACTGAACACAAGGATGTCGTCTATGTAAGCCCCGGCAAATCCTCTAATAGGTTCCAACACTGTGTCCATCAGATGTTGAAAAGTCGCACCTGCTCCATGTAACCCAAATGGCATTCTCCAGAATTGGTACAACTCTTTAGGGGTGACAAATGCCATCTTTTCCTTATCTCCTGCTCTCAAGGGAATTTGCCAATAACCCTTAGTAAGATCTAAATAAGTTAAGTATCTAGCGCCCCCTAGACTTTCAAGCAAATCTTCAGTTTTTCCATCAGATGTTGAAAAGTCGCACCTGCTCCATGTAACCCAAATGGCATTCTCCAGAATTGGTACAACTCTTTAGGGGTGACAAATGCCATCTTTTCCTTATCTCCTGCTCTCAAGGGAATTTGCCAATAACCCTTAGTAAGATCTAAATAAGTTAAGTATCTAGCGCCCCCTAGCCTTTCAAGCAAATCTTCAATTTTTGGCATTGGATATGCATGAAATTTAGATATTTCATTTACCTTCCTAAAATCTATACACAACCGAACCTTACCATCTGATTTAGGAACCACCACTGGATAACTCCTCCAAGGGCTACGGGAGTGTTCTATCACTCCTAATTTTAGCATGTCGTCCACTTCCCTATTAATTACTTCCTTTAAATGAAATGGCCAACTCCTGCCCCCACTACGCATTACAACGCCTGTATCAGTATTTATGTGATGTATTTATACCCTGCCTATCTAGTCATTTCGACCACTCTAGGCCGAAATTTATCTACATGATAAATCCCTGTTTTCCGTTTCTTGTCTGGGGTCCTAATCTCATAGTCTACTTTCCCTATTTGTCTTATTACCTCGTATGGTGGGAGGGTTCTATCACTCCTAATTTTAGCATGTCGTCCACTTCCCTATTAATTACTTCCTTTAAATGAAATGGCCAACTCCTGCCCCCACTACGCATTACAACGCCTGTATCAGTATTTATGTGATGTTCCACCATTTTTGTAGTGCCGGGCTTAGATGAGAACACATCTCTGAATTCTTTCTCCAAACCTCTTATCTGCGTAACTTGTTGTAAATCCAAATCTTCTCCTAAGGGAATCTCTGTACCCTCTGTCTCACACCCCGAAGCTTCTGGTCCAAAATCTTCCTCACCTGTTTCTCCCCACAACACTTCCCTCTCATGCCATTCGGCCTTGCCAGTGCGCAAATAGTTTGGCATAATAATAGTTTGGGTAATAATAATAGTACTTTTTGGCCTGGTTTAAACTGCCTAGGGGACACTCTTTCATCATATCTTCTCTTTTGCCCGGCTTGCGCTTTTCCTAAATGCTCCTTGGCAATCTCTGCTACCTTCTTTAAATGTTCTCTCATCTGCAACGCATGTTGCACCGTTAAGTGAGAAGTATCTTCTCCGCTCCCCCATTTTTCCTTAATCAAATCTAATATCCCTCTAGGATTCCACCCATACATCATTTTGAAAGGGGAGAACCCTGTAGATGCTTGGGGTACTTCTCTAATTGCAAACATAAGTGGCGCAATCAACAAGTGCCACCTTCTGGGTTTTTCTACCACTAACTTCCTTAGCATTCCTTTGAGAGTTTTGTTAAATCACTCCACCAGCCCGTTAGTTTGCGGGTGACACACAGAAGTATGCACAGGTTCTACATCTAAGAGCTTCTACATTTCCTTTAAGGTCAAGCTCATAAAATTGCTCCCTTGGTCGGTCAAAATCTCCTTAGGAAATCCTAACCTCGTAAACACTTGCATCAGTTCCCGCACAATTACTTTTGCTGTAGTGGACCTTAATGGGATTGCTTCTGGGTATCAGGTGGCATAATCAATCAATACCAGAATGTGCGTATGTCCTCCTGCTGATTTTGTTAAAGGTCCCACTATCTATACCTACTCTCGCAAAGGGATGATCTACCAGCGGCATGGGCACCAAGGGGGCACTGAGCCTCGGTTTAGCTTGCATCATTTGGCATTCTTTACACGTTTTACAATATTGTTGAATTTTCTGAATTTATTCCTGGCCACCAGAATCTTTTGGATACGTGCGCAATCATTTTCTCTGCTGCAAGATGCCCGGCAGTAGGTATATTGTGGGCTACCCGCAGTACATCTCTCCGCCACTTCAAAGGTATCACCAATTGCCTTTCTCCCTCCCAATTCACATGGTATAACAAACCTTCTTCCAACTCAAACCCCAATTCCCCTTTCGCAATCGATCCCATAACTTTGGCTTCCCCCAATACCTTTTGCAAAGTTGGATCGTCTTGCTGCCACAATCTCATTTGATCCCTAGATACCTCCTTCAAAAAATCAGTTTCAGTTTTGCGAATTTCACAGTCCCCATTCAACCCCTCTTTACTTTTCAACAAATCACTCACCCCAGCCCAATCTCTTCCTAATAACATTTCCCTCGAAAGTCCCGGTACCACCCCAACTGTCATGCGCTGACAATCCCCACCAATTTGCACGTCAACCCAGGCAGTCGCATACTTTTTAGAGTCCCCATGTATACATTTTACAGTCAGGTCCTCCGGAATTAATGCCCCTTCCAGATGGTGCACCAAAGTTTTGCTGCAGCCCGTATCAATCAAAGCTCGCTTTTCTTGCCCATTCACATGCGCAACTACCTCCCAACCTTCCCTATCCAATCCCCATATCGCAATCGTCTCATTATTTGGTCCTACCCAAGAGCAGTCCAGTCCGAGGCATTCCCTTTTTACATGGCCGGGACAGCCGCAATCAAAACACACAGGCTTCCCATCTTTGCCCTCCTTTAAGCCTGTGCCTGGCTCGAACAGGCGATGATCATAGGTGATAGGGCGAACAGGCTTGGGGCACACCGGCTCGAATACCGGAGGTTTCCCTCTACTGATCGCCGAAAACGTAGCAGGGCCACGCGGTGTGCTGCTGCTGCCAGTCGCCATTTTGTCGTGGGGGCGGCCCATCTCTGCAGACATCCCAGCATGCTCTCTGGTGCCCTCTTCAGCCATGCAATAATCCTCGATCAGATGTATGGTCTCCTCCAATCATTTGGGTCGGTTCCTTTGCACCCAACTTCGCAAATTCAGGGATAGGGTAGTCAATAGCTGTTCCATAACAAAAATTTCCAAAATCTCGTCCTTTGTCTTTTCTTCTGGTCTCAGCCATCTAATGAGGTTGGCTTTCATCCTCTGGCTTACTGGGCGTGGGTGTATCCCTGCTTTGAACTTGAGCTCCCTGAATCTTTTCCGATACGCCTCTTCCGTCAGGTTCAGCGTTTGCAAAATCACGCCTTTCACTACTTCTACTGGGTTGCCTCTGTGACTGACAAAGTATCTACCACCTCCTGCAATACTCCTGTCAAGCATGGGATCAGGGGCAATCCTCATCGCACAGATCGTTCCACAACATGAGTGCCTCACTCACCCCCTCTTGTCTGGTCCCTCAGACGACTTCTCCCACTCCCGCCGCAATTCAGCCTCTCGCGGAGTCACAACGACAGACCATTCTTGTGATACCATTTGTTTAAGCTCCCCTCTCCAGCAGCGGGATTGGGGAGAAGTCCACCAATTCTAAAGTTTGGGAAATCCTTTAATAGTCCTTGGTCACGGACTTTCTCAAATGTCCTACGTCTTTCTTCTTTCCTTCTTTTTTCATCTCTACCACTGTGTTGAACCAAACTACTCCCTCCTCACTTTTATCCTCTTGCCATACTGACCCCTCTTGCTCCTCCCACTCCCCCTCTGCCAGACAGATCTCCCACTTTCCCACCTTTTTCTCAACTGTCACTTTCTCGTCTGTTCTGTTATTGCTCCCTATCACTCCCTGGTGTTCCCCTCTTTTTTCCTTCTTCTCCATTTTGTCTTTCACGGATGGCTCACTCTTTTTATCCATTCCTTCACATATGTAATACAGAGCCCTTAATTCTTTGGTGTGCTTCCCTTCTGTTCTATTGCCCCAGGAATGGAGCTGGCTCAAGCCTTGCTTTTCTCCTCAGATACACCACAGGTCCAAATTCCCATGGGTCCAGACTATAGAAAGAAATATGTGGGTGATGGCAACTCTATATGTACTGTACTTTCCCGTGTATGAGATGATACTTTTGTCTAAAATCTTTAGACTAAAATTTGAGGGTTGTCTTTTACACAGAGGTTAGAATAAAAACAAGTGGAGTGGGGAAGGGATCAAAGTGATCCTGCCATGAAGCTTAGCAAAAGCAGCAATCAAAGGGCTGCAGGATCACTTTGACCACTGTTTTTCCCACCACTTCCTAAGCCCCACGGGGCTTAGCTAAAGGAGGGGGGAAACAGCTGTCAAAGGGCTGCAGGATCACTGAGACCGCCGCTTTCCCCACCACTTCCTAAGCCCTATGGGGCTTAGCAAAAGAAGGGGGAAAACAGCTGTCAAAGGGCTGCAGGATCATTTTGACCACTCCTTTCCCCCTCCTTTTGCTAAGACCCATGGGGCTGAGGAAGTGGCAGGGAAAGCAGCAATCAAATTTTCTAATTTGGGGTTAGAAAAGTGGGGGTCATCTTATACATTGGTGCATCTTATAAACGGAAAAATACGGCAAGTTAAAAACAAAACAACATACAGTGATGCCTCGCTTGACAACGATAATCCATTCTGTTCAAATCGCTGTTAAGCAAAATCGCTGTCAAGCGGAAAAAAAAACCCCATTGAAATGCATAGAAAACCGGTTCAATGTGTTCCAATGGGGGAAATACCTGCTTGTGCAGTGAAGATCCTCCATAGGGCGGCCATTTTATGATCCCTGTCTTGCGAGGAATCAGTCCTGAAAACAGCGGGGAGCCATTTTTGCAACCCGCAGATCAGCTATTTTCAATCATCATCCAACGAAAAAACGGTTCCCAAAGTATTCGTCGTGAAGGTTTGTGATCGCTATAGCGATCGCAAAAAAATCATCGTTAAGCGATTTCAGTGTCAAGCTGGGCACCGCTGTATTTATTTTACTCTCCCTAGTGAGGAAGTGTATGTCTCTATCAAAGTGCTCATAATTTGTCAAAGCTTTTTTAAAAGAAATTCCTTAAGTTGAGCCATGAACCAATAATCTAAATAAGAAAAGGTCATGCAAATAATAATGAGACATCAATGTTGTTTATTCTGTGTCCCACTAGAATCAGACTTCAGAAAATATTGGCCAGTTCTTATGTCACACAGGAATCTACTGGAACAGGAATTTCCCCAGAATGGTGAAGGTGATTTAATCTCTAATACAGTATATTAATTTTAAAAATCCTTGTTTTTTCCACATACCCAAAAGTATGAAGTTTTTTATTCTAGGAAAAGTATCTTATTTCCAAGAAAAAGTACATGAACAAAAATGTATACTGTTGATAGAAATATTTGTTCAGTGAACTGAATAACTACCTGATTATAAAATTATTTGGCCCTGGAACGAATTTGAAAACATTTCATAACTATAATGAGTTTTATCCAAATATGGCTTCTCCGAAATAATTTAAGTCCTGAACTGTGGCAAATTGTTTACAGTATCCGGTTTAGATTTCTGTAATAAAACAATTTACTGGAAATAGTTTCAAGTAAAGCATAATGACTACACTCTGTTTGATACTATTGACTTTGTACTTCATAACATTCTAAGAGATATACGGCAAGTATAATTTTGTTTTTCCTACACAGGAATACTATACAACAGAGAACAAATATTGCATTATTCACTTACCCAATGGATAAGAACCTGAAACCCTGAAACAAGCATGTTAATTTGTGCTGTCTTATTATACAAAATACATTATAATATCAATATAATTTAAAATGAAAAGAGAAATCCCAATGTCTTAGTAAGAAAGCTTTGACGTCTAACACAGTTTATATGTATGTCAATAGCCCAATGAAATACTAGAGATAACAGCTTCAGAAAGCACTGATATATTTAAATGTAAACATATTGGAGGCCAGAATATAAAATCTACAATAATTTAAAGATTCCTTGATGTTAATATATAAACATGTACCTTTAAGGTATCTCTCTCTGCTTTCAATTAATAAACCTTATTTCAATGTCTTAAGTGTTGGTCAGTATTATAGTAAATATGGGGGGAAATTTTCATCTTTTTCTTTTTTCCCTAGCAATTAATACTACTTTACCAGAGCTTTATTGAATTCCTCAGTAGCAACGCAAATGGCTCGTCTTGTTTCTTCATCTATTATTTGAAGCTTCATGGCTCTTTGATCCAGTTCCAGTCTCTGTTTGTCAAACAGATCATCTAAATTTGTGAAACAGAATTGAATAGAATACAAATTTCATACCATAAATTCAGTATTGTGGGGGCGGAGTTTTAAAACCTTATTGTTATTTCTTCCCATGTCACTTTCACCTATTCCTCAGATTCCATATCCTTGTCCAACTTTTCTTTTCACAAAATTCATGATTCAATTGCACAATTCTCCATAAACTATTAATCTTTAGCTCAGGCTTATTCTCAAAGTTCTATACGAACGTCTCTGGGCATTCATTTTGCTTATTATAAATCCACATTCTCCCCACCATCTAGCTAGTACTGGAGCCCTACTCATGTGCTCAACCCTGATAGCAACCAGGTTAGTGGATACTGAGCTCAGGGAAAGTGGCCTTACGTCTCTGAACATACTAGACTTGGGCTGGCCCTAGACCTTGCCATCAAAGTTTTTAGGAGAGATTTAAGGATATATAATTTCAGAACTGAAATTATGTTAGCTGTAAGCTGTACTGGATTTTAATATCTGTGTTATGCTGACTATGTTGGTCTTAAAAATTTTGGCCAAAATCCAGTTGAAGAAAAGTTGCACGCAGAAGGGCAATCCACAGTGGTGTCTCTCTTCACACAACTGGTTGGGGGCCAGATGTTGCAAACATGGACACACAGAGAAGAATCTGCCAGGGAGGCAGAAAAAAAAACTTATGCAATTACTCTTATGCTTCAGTGAACAGGATTCTGTTGTTGGTTTTTATTAATTGTACTATTTATGTTTATACTAATTATTGGAAGAGAGTATTCTTTCTTAATGGCAAATATATTTAAAAATAATATGTTAATCTAACAGAGAATGGAGTAAATAGAATCAAATGGAACAGAACAGGTTACATACAGCTATGACCTCACCTGTCCGTCACTGCTAAAGCTGTGAGTCATCTACCAATGGTGTGACGGAGGGTGGAACATAAGGGGTGGAGCTGTTGTATAAATGGGAGTGAATGTGTGTGAGAGATTTTAGATAGGGACTGATAGGGCTTTGATAGGGCTTGGATAGGGTTTAGGAGATCTGTGATATATGGTGAGAGTCTGTGTATGCTAGTGCCTTTATTATAGTGAATGAATTATTATTTAATTCTAAGTGATTTACCATTCCTTTTATTTGTACCCAATAAACTTGAGTTTTTATTTTGAATCATATTTTGGCCTGAAGCTACTTATTTGAGGGAATGGTTGGTGGCAGCAGAAAAGGAGAGTGATTTAGAGTGACGTAGCGACCCCCCTTTGTGAGGTAGAGGGAGGCTGTTACAGAGACTATATGAAATTTTGATGCATATGTAATAAACAGTACTTTCCAAAATTTCCTATTCAGGATCTATTGATCAATGAAAAAGAAGATCAAGTCATTCACATATATAGCAAAAGAAGGAAAAGGGTGGGGAGGCTTGATGTAAAAACTGCTTGAAAAGGTTAGCAACTATTAAGCTAGTCCAGGTATTTAACTACTGTATTTAAGACTTCGTTATTCCATACCTGGTACATATACCTGGTCTGTATTATATCAGATCACCATTGAGCCGTAACAAAACTAAATTTGCCTGACCCACCATAAAGCCTCCAAATATGAAACTATTAATCAAAGTTCTTTGTATGCAGGAATATTGCCAAATAATTCACCAGGTACCAGATGCACAATTTTCAAACAGATTTATAATTCCTGCTTCAATTATTACCAGCATTTTTTTTGTCTGCCAGTGCATTCTGCCGCTCTTTGTGTTGTTGCAAAAGCCACTCCCTTGTTTGCTCCTTTTGGAATTTCCACCTATTCCCACTGTTTAAATCTTCTCCCATAAACTTCTGTAAGCCAGAAATAGTACACCGAGGGTCATTATCTGCAAGACGAGCAGGAGTGTCCTTCTTTAGGGCTTGTGGATCTGACAAATCAAATTCACGCCGTGTATCTGGTTGCTGATAGTTTTTGCGAAATTCATTGACAGCTTTATTCAGGATTTGACCATCTTTCTTCTGTCGCTCATCTAACATACAAAGCACCTTGTCGTTTTGTTTCATTTCTGCAGCTGGATTATAAAAACAACTAGTGTAACTGAATCATACAAAAGAAACATATATTTTATTTTTTAAAATAATTTATAAATAAAATGTAAACAGCTATTTAGGATACAAAGAGCTACGTAATTTTATATCCTGTAAAACCTCAGCAGGGCTAACTAAATATTTAGAAAGTGTAAGGTAGCCTGTCTCAGGCAGCAAACTTTGACAACAGTATACTATCACATACTTACCATACTTTTATCACCCTTCAAGAAAGGATATTTCTCAACACCAAATTGTCTGTGGCTCTATTGCTCTTCCCTGGTACTCCAGCAGCCACAGCCATGGCAGCTTTCCCTTGCTTCACTTCCACATCCTGCCCATGTTATCCTATTCCTCGTCCCCACCATAGCTCAGGCCTCTGAGCCCAACATGAACCACTTTCAGCAGCAGTCCTCATCATAGCAGCAACACCCACTGCTGCTGGAGAAACCCGGGGAGCAGCAGTTTGCGAGCCCAAGGACAAAGAGATGGAAGGCTCATTTGAGCTGAGCCCCTGAACTGAGCTCCATGAAGGAGTCAGGCAGTTCCAGAGGAAGAGAAAGTGAAGGAGGAACAAGGCATAGTGCTGGAAGATGAGGCTCTTAAGTTGGAACATACTCAATCAGCTGATTGGAAAGAGCAAAGGACTAGTACGAATAGCTCAGTCACTAATGATGCAACTAGATTAATGCTGAAATGGCATCTAGTGGCTGCCATGCATGGAAGTGAAAGGAAAGTGTGATGCTGTACATCATATACAATTGGAACATGGAATGTGAGTAGCATGAATCAAGATAAACTGGAAACCATAAAGCAAAAATAAAAAATGGAGCATATAAACATTGCACTGCTTGGTGTTAATGAACTCAAGTGAATAGGAACAAGATACAGTGGTGCCTCACTTAGCGACGTTAATCCGTTCCAGGAAAAACGTCACTAAGTGATTTAACCGTTAAGCGATTTTTAAAAGCCCATAGGAACGTATTAAAACGCATTTAATACATTCCTATGGGCTAAAAACCTACCTTACAGCGAAATTCCTCCATAGCGGCGGCCATTTTGGGTGCCTCTAAAGCGAGGCAAAACCGTTTGGGAACCACCGCTGTGCTTCCTCCAGGGAGACTGAGGCACCGCTGCCGCCACCCCAGCCTAGAAAGACCCTCTGCGCCTGCAGCAAAGGTTGCAGAAAGTGAAGGAGGAACAAGGCATAGTGCTGGAAGATGAGGCTCTTAAGTTGGAACATACTCAATCAGCTGATTGGAAAGAGCAAAGGACTAGTACGAATAGCTCAGTCACTAATGATGCAACTAGATTAATGCTGAAATGGCATCTAGTGGCTGCCATGCATGGAAGTGAAAGGAAAGTGTGATGCTGTACATCATATACAATTGGAACATGGAATGTGAGTAGCATGAATCAAGATAAACTGGAAACCATAAAGCAAAAATAAAAAATGGAGCATATAAACATTGCACTGCTTGGTGTTAATGAACTCAAGTGAATAGGAACAAGATACTTTCAGGCAACTGCAAAGTGTTCTACTCTGGAAATGACAAACTGAAAAAATGGAGTAGCTTTAATACTGAGGAAAAATGTAACACAGGAAATTAGCTATAATGCAAGATCTGACCAAATAAGTCAGATTCGATTCCATAATCTGATTGATATTATTTCAGCATAACATTTCAGCATAATTATTATTCAATTCTATGCTCCAACCTCCAATGCTGAAGAATTGAAAGTTTCTATGCAAGCATTCCAGAGGAAATTGATCACTCCAAAACAAGCCATGCTTATATAAACATAGGTGACTACAACACAAAAGTAGATAAGAACTAAATTTTGATAGAAAATTTGCCCTAGGGGACAGAAATGAAGCAGCACAATGATTCAAGAGTTCTGCAAAGCCAATAATCTGTTTCTTGCAAAGACATGCTTCAAACAAGGAAACGGATTATATGTGGACATCAAAACACAGTCAATAAAAATAGACTACCGTGTTTCCCCGAAAATAAGACAGGGTCTTATAATTAATTTTTGCTCCAAAAAGCATTAGGGCTGATTTTCACAGGATGTTCTTATTTTCACGGCATGTTCTACTTTTTTATGTACAACCATCTACATTTATTCAAATACAGTCATGTCATCTTCTTCTGGTTGCTGCACAATGGTGGAGTACGGGCTTTTGCTTAACTAGGGCTTTGGGGTAGGGCTTATATTACAAGCATCCTGAAAAATCATACTAGGACTTATTTTCAGGTTAGGTCTTATTTTTGGGGAAACAGAGTATATACTTGGAGAAGTTGTATTCCCTCTCTGAAAACAAGACTGGGGCAGATTGTAGTACTGATCATGAACTGTTAATTTCAAACATTAGATTAAAACTGAAGAAAAGCACTAAAAGAATCTTAGTACCAAAGTATTTAAACAAAATCTCTTGATTACTGTATTTTGAAGTCTACATAAAGAACAGCTTTGCATTATGAAACTCTAGTGATCATGAACCAGAAATGTTAATTGAAATGAGAGATATTAGAGAAGACTGCAACAACACAGTTCTGGTTCGTGATCATGGTTACTGTAATAAAAAGGAAATAATCCATTGAATGATTGAAAAAAACACTTAAAACTGCTAAGGGCAGATAAGAAGCAAAACTATAAGGAGATAGAAAAACCCTGAATGCAGTTTTTCAGCAACTGGTACATAGAGACAAAGAGAACTATTACAATAGCCAGTGCAAAGAAATAAAGAACAACAAGAGCGGAAAAACAAGATATCTCTTCCAGAGTATCCAAGAAATCTAAGATAAACTGAAGCCAATAAAGAAGCACACTGTCTGACCAGAGAAAAATAAAGGGAAGGTGGAAACAGTATATTGAGGATCTATACATAAAAGGTTAAAGGGTAACAGACTCCTTTGAAGAGAAATCCTCTGATGGAGAACTTAAAATTCTAAAAAATGACGTGAAACTGCTGTGAAGGCACGAGAAATAAATAAATCATCATAAGTAGATGGAATGCCAATAGAACTATTTCAAGCTAGAGACTGAATCTATAAAAATCCTAATAAGAATATGCCAACAAATTCAAAAAAGAAAACAATGGCCCATAGACTGGAAATGCTCAATATATATTATTCCAATACTCAAGAAAGAAGATGCCAGGGAGTGCAGTAACTAAAGGACCATTGCTCTAATTTTCCATGCAAGCAAAGGGTGCTCAAGATGTTGCAACAAAGGCTTCAACTTCATATGGAGTGAGAAAAGCCTGGTGTTCAAGATGGATTCTGAAAATGAAGAGACACTCAAGATCATATTGCAGATATCCGCTGGTCACTGGAGAGTGCCAAAGAATTTGAGAAGATCAGTCTATGTTTTATAGACACTAGAATTTTAAGTTCTTTGACCATGTGGATCATGAGAAAGGAAGCAACTGTTAGAACAGAATATGGAAAAACAGAATAGTCTTTTTACAGGCAAAGGTATCATACATGGGTGCATTTTATCTCATTATCTGTTCAATCTATACACAGAACATGTTATACAAAGAGCTGGGCTAGACCGAGACAAAAAACAGAATAGTCTTTTTACAGGCAAAGCATGGGTGCATTTTTTCTCATTATCTGTTCAATGTATACATAGAACATGCTATACAAAGAGCTGGGCTAGATCGAGACGGAGTGAAAAATGGGGGAAAGATATTTCAAAATACTGTATGCAGATGACACCATCTTACTGGCAGAAAGCAGCAATGACTCAAAATGACTTTTAGTGAAAGAAGAAAGTGCCAAAGCAGGACTGTAGTTGAACAATAAGACCAAAATCATAACTACAGGAGAACTATACAATTTGATGAATAAGACTACAAATGATGGTAGCTGTCTGATAAATTGCTGTATTAAAACTTGTTGCTTTAAAAGATACCAATTGATTCATCACATGCCCTCTGAGTTGCTTCTTGGATCTTTCTGTCTTTGATTTGGGTATCCAAAGCTTCCTTGTCAATCTGTAGTAAAGAGAAACAAAACATAACTACAGTACTCATTCAGAAACAGAAGTCTTTTACTTTAATTACTGAAGCTGCAGAAGATTGACTCCTGTGTAATATATATTCTTAGAAGCACAGTATTTAGAAACAATCCAGTGAATGTGTAATTTTTCTAAATCTTACCTGACCCTTTTCTACATTAGATATGTGATAGGAATTAGGACATCAATTTAGTCTATGAGCTGAAGGCATAAGCTTGAAACTGTTATGTACACATGGATCTAGATTATCTAACATTTCTTTTACATATACAACTGGACACATGAGAGTTTCCAGTCAGTGAGAACTTGTGCAGTAAAATTGTTGGCATGTGAGTAGGGGTATCTGTGTTCAAAAACTTTCCAAAATGGCTTCAAGTTTCACATAATAATTATACATTTATATGTTTCAGGGAAGCCCTCTCCAGCTCCAGGTGTCCATACTGAATTCTGCTCTACACAAACTTGTAAGGGTACTTCTATCATTAACATGTTTGTAGTGGGAAATACCGGTGTAATTGCAGTGTAAAGTATTGTATTGTTTTAGCCATTGTGATTTTACAAAATGGCAACCCTGTGAACTCAGGAAACAAATATGTCATATAATTTTAACTAATTTAACTTAAATACAATGGTGTCCCGCAAGAGGAATGTAATTCATGTAACTACAATTAATCCAAAATGAACAATTTAATCAAAATAAACATTTTCCCTTTGAGCACACCATTTTATGATGTAATGTTAATTTCTTGTGCTTATGGTACCATTATGTAAAATAGCTTATATTTAAAAAGGAATACTTTATCTCCACCTACTTACCTAGGAATTGGGATACCCAGTGTGGTGTAGTAGTGGATAAAGTAACATATTAGGACTTCAGAGGAGTGGGTTTGAATCCCTTCTCAGTCATGGAAACTTACTGGAGTTGTGGAACTGGCAAAAGCACTCTTTAAATATCTCATTTGAAAGCTCTGTCAGGATCACTGTAAGTCAGTTCTGACTTAAAGGTACTTAAAAAAAAACTTGTAATTACTCCCACTATGAGTAATGGGGTACATTTGAGTGGACACATAAATTGCTTATTTGCATTTGATGATGTTTTGATTTTAGGCATTTTAGACAAAAGAGATCCTGATCATTATAGGAGTTATCATCTTCAGAGGTCTGGGACCAATCTTATTTGGTGCCGATATGCAACATTTGGGAGGGAGTCTCCACGATCAGTTACAAAGGATACAAGATCAGTTACAGGGCATATAGTTCCAACGGGCAAGAACTGTTCTTTATCGGTTTAACCATATACAGTAATATTCAAATCGACATTTAGATTTAACGATCTTTGAAAAATGACCCCTCTGTTTGAGAAGATAATTATACGGCCATATTTAGAATTTCTACCGTTAAAAACAGTATATAAATAATACGATATGAAAGGAAACAAATGCTTGAAGAAGTTCTGCTGACGGTGCAGCGTTTATACCCCGTCCTGACAGCAAAATACCGGGAACCCTCACCCACACATTTCTCGTAATGGTTTAGAAAGGGCCCTCTTACACCAATGGTCCTGAGTCTGGCGTCAAACACTCGGCTTTGCCTCTGTAGGTCCCGATAGCGCCTCCGCTGAAGCGCGGCGGCCTCGGCCAGGTCTTGCTGGTTGGGGTCCAGGTTACGCCTCCGCATGGCGAATGCAGCTAGTTTCCTGAGGCAGCTAAATAATTTCGGTTTAAGGCAGGAGGTCTGTGAGCGGGACGTTGGTGCGGGGCAGCCCGCGCGGGGAAAGGGAATGAGGGGCTTCCACTAAACGTTATCCAGTGACTAAAGCACGACAGCTCCAGCGGCTGTTCTATCAACAACACACGGTTGCTAAGGAACGCAGGCCCCGCCCCCCGCAACGGCCGCCGTTCCCTATTAGTCCCGCCTCCTTCCTGGTCTTCCAGACCGGTTCCGAGCCCTCGTTGACAAAGTCTCGCGAGCTTTCTGATGCTCGCGGCCACTCGTGTTAGACGGCAAAAACTAGGAAAGGCACCTCTGTGCCCGCCTGATCTTTAAAGCACCTTAGAGGGGGGATCTCTAGGGCGTCGGCTCCGCCACCATTCGGTGCCCAGAGGTGGTTAACGGCCAGCGCCTGGGCTGAACACGGCCTCCCCGCTCACTTTCTACCGGCAGTTCTGCCTGGCTGCCCTTTCGCCTTTTGATAGGACTTCGGTGCTGAGTTAGTCCGGGAGAGACAAACAGCTCCATAAGGGGAGTTGGGCCGACCTGAACGGCAGTCGTTTAAGGAGCGGACCTGTAACAGCTCACAAGCTACTTTCGCTTGATCTTTTGAGGGCTGGTCTTATATAGTAAATGCACGACAGTCATGAGAGAAAGCCCTGCCGAACTAAAAACACGCGCTACCAAATGGAGGAACTCCCAGTTCAGTTATTTATCCCCTAGGAACCAGTTCATTTTGCATGGTAGTCCCGAAGTGAATGCTTCAAATGCCATAGACAAGCAGCTTCCGTCTCCTCACTTAGCCTACCAAAGGGAACTCTGGTAGGTGCCCTAGCAGAGGCGAGGCGAGGCGGAAGCTCCCTGAGGTACGTAGCCCTCCGATGCACAGAGTTAAAACATTCCAGGTCGCCAGCCCTCGGAATTACACGCCACCCATCTTTTGAGGGGACTGAGGTGGAGGGAGGCGCCGTCCCTTCCACTTAACGGATGAGAACTGATTGGCAGATGTCTGCCTCCTCGCCAGAATCCAGAAAATTTAACCTTCGACGACGTGCCGTCGCCTCCCTATTTTAGGGAACCCTCCAAATCGAGGTGACGTAAGACGCTCTCTTCCGCCCATCGAGACAGAAGCCCCGCCCACAACCTCGAGTAAGCCTGCCAGCCTCGCGCCGCGTCCTCCCCCTTTCCCTCTCTCTCCCCCCCCCGTTGGAACTCTTGCGACATTTCCTCTATATTATGTTTGCTCCAGGACTCTGAGTGGGCGGGGTTGGTCGAGGGGGCGTGGCCTCTGGACCTCTCTTACCTTGGGGAAGGGGCGAATGATATTGGGCGACTCCGAGGCGAAAAGCTTCTGGCCGTCCGTGCTCGATTTCGGAGGGAAGGCGTTTCGTCTCTGCCCCCCCTCCCCTCACATGGATGTTTTAAGTTATTTTGGGGGTGGAATTTATTTCGTAGTTTGTTTTGATCCGGTTAAAATGAGTACCCTGCGGGCAGATACGAGTGGATTAGCGCCAGTTGAATATCGATTTGATAAAGATCCGATCTTTAAAAAAAATTTTTTTCAGCACTGTAAAATAATTATTTGAGCTTTATTTGGCCCCTTATTAATAAGCAGTTTAATGAATGATAGGGTGTACAAATCTATGCTATATTAATTAGTCATGCTTTATGGATTGTAGGAGGGATAGCTGCGCTAGTCCAAGAGTTATAAGTAAAGCAAAATAGAAATAAAAAGTTTTTTTTCTAAAAAAGACAGAAGCCAGGTGGTATCCTAAAGACTAACTTACATATTTTTTAATGTGAGCTTTCATGGACAAGTCCACTTCATCAGGTTTAAGAGCATGTTTGGTGAAATAGACCCGTCTACAAAACGCACATTTAAAAATACAAAAGCTGGTCTTTAGGTGTCACCAAGTTTTTTGCTTTTTTTACTTTTTATTTCTATTTGGGATTTACCTATAATGGTTTATAGACTGGTGCATTAATAAGACAGTAAATTAGCATACAGTATTAGTGGACTGTGTAACCGGACTCCCATGTTCAGAGGCAATAATCTTTTAAATGCTAGTCAGTGAAGAAAAGGGAGAAGACAATTTGTTTTCAGCTCTACAAACTGCAGGGCACTGTATAGACATCTAGTTAACTGTTGCTGGAGGCAGGATCTGAAATATTTATTTATCTATATTCCGCATATCTAGCCAACTCAGGCGGCTAATATTGTTCGTCTCATCTAGTCGGGCTTTTACATGGCCTTTTAATGTAATGTTTCATTAGGATATACAGTAAGATGACGATATCGTGAGAATATGTTATGACATAATGAGGATATGAGAGTTTTCATGAGGAAAATTGAGCCTGATAGCTCAATTGCTGGTATCTTTTTAGATAGTAGGGTTTTTTAAAGTAACTGATTTCAAAAATGGACAAACCATTCTGGATTAGGCCTAAATCCTATTTAATCTGCCTTTTTATTACTATTCAAATTATAGCCATTATTAGTTACTATTTTGAAAGTTAAATTTTGTGTAATAATCGGAAGTGAATTATTTACATTTTGTGTTTCAAAAGCCCATTCCTTGGTCAAATTTCATGTTAATTATAACAGCATTCCTTTGCTCCTCCACAGATGGGATACTTAAAGCTGTTGGTGGTAGAGAATTTTAAGTCATGGCGGGGGCAACAAAACATTGGACCATTCAAGAAATTCACTTGTGTCATTGGCCCAAATGGTTCAGGTAATGTGAGAACAATTGGTCCATAGGTATGCCACTTTCTGGTCATCAGACTGATCAGCATGTCTCTCTCATCATTTATATATATATTGATTATTTGATACCTTCCCAACAACACTTCTCGCAACCTAAAAGTCTCATATATGGTTGTACATTTCTGCTTTTGCTGATTTTTTGGAATGTGTTTTTCTGGTGTGCTGCTTTATGCTATTTGGGCAGCTAACATTGTTTCAAAAATGAAATATAATTTCAAAAATCCAGTGGGTTGAATGTAGGTCCACTTACCTGAAATGATTAATAGTACTTTATAAACTACTGTAATTAGAATTATCATTTTGAGGGCAAATTGTTATAGGGAAAGCAGTCCCATACTCTTCAGATGTGGCTGGAACTAGATGTTTCAGATAACCCACAGTAAGTTTTTTTACTGTGAATTATCAGATGTGAAATTCCCCGTTTCTCCTAAGAAGAGTTCATTGCTGGGTGGACTGTCTTGTTTATTTATTTTATTTTTATTTATTTATTTTATTTATACCCCGCCTATCTGGTCATTTATATAAAGAAAAATTCTAACAATTAAGTTATTCTGCAAGATGGGAAAAATACAACAATAAATCAAATAGAAAAAGAAGGGAAGAGGGTCAGGAATTGACTGGGGGGAAGGCCTGCCTATACATCCACGTTTTTAATTGATTTTTAAAAGTACCCAGCGAGGGTGCAGCACAAATCTCTGGAAGCAGATTGTTCCAGAGGCGAGGAGCCACCGCCGAGAAGGCCCAGTTCCTTGTTTTTTCCTTCCGGGCCTATTATAATGCGAATCTTCACATTAAAAAAGGACATGGAGCTATGCTTGACCTGCAGGCTGGGCAGTGCTCAGAGGCTTCCTGCTGCTGTTGATAGCACTGGAGTCAGGGCAGCTTCCCTGCTTGCCATGTGGAGGAAAAAATGAGCCACTGGATTGCCAGCAAGTAGCGTTTCAAATTTCCCCTCCATTTCTTTATTGAATATATCCTGGTACTCTCCTTAGAAAGTGACTTGAGGTGGTTTAGAGTAATAGGGAATAAAAAGTACAGTTAAAACAAAGTCAAGGTTTAAACAGTTAAATTAAAGGCACACACTGATTTCAGTAAGTGGAATTCCACAGAACTGATGTCACTAGGCTGAAAACTGTTAGCCCTATTACCCAGCCTAGTTGGCAAGAACTGTCTGGGCATTGGAATTCCGTGGCAATCTGCCATTTCTCTCCCTGATCCCCTCTTTCAGTACAGACAGCACTCTGTACTAATTTTAAAATAATGATATCTTTAAGTCTTTTTGTTCTCCAGTAATGCCTTTGCAGATCAGAACCTGAAAGAATCATTTTGTATAGTTATGTAACTTTTCAAAATGCAAATCTTCTACTTGCGTTTTAGAATCATAGGACTGTTAGGGTGGGACAAATCTGAGGATAATTTATATCAAGTTTGCAGCTGCCAGATTAAAATTATGAGAAAGAAAATACTGTATAAGATATAATTTTAGATTTTAAAGGCTTAGAAAAAATGGTAAGAAAAGTGTGAAGTAAGCTTAGTAAGAAAACATATAGACAAATGTAATAATTATATATACTGTTCTCTATCACATTCTGTATTTTTTATTTACCCCAATACCCTGATCCTAATCCCCTTCCCTATGATCTTCCCTTACCTAATGGGAAATGAATAATAATAAAAAAGCTTGCTATTTTCAGTCTTGGTGTGTAAAACTTATCCATATATAGTAATAACTAGTACATTAATCTGTAGGTAAATTATAAATTTCTAGAGCTGCAGTGAGTGCTTCAGTACTCGGCAGAGAGGTGGATCCCTATATATTTCAGGCTGAAAAGAAAGACCTTTCCTCCATTTCTTTTAATGGGCCAGCATTATAACTATTTATGTGCCCTCCTTTTATAAAGAATGTTTCTAAATCTTTTTATTGTTCCTTCCTATGTTTAATACTAATTTATGTTGAGATCTATTTTGATTTAATATTACCATGCCCAGTGTGGGAAATATTTATATGTTTTCCAAGCAGAGGATTTTCCTTCTTCCTTTAAAAAAACTGGCATTTTGGATTTATGTTTCGTAAGTTAAATGTTAATGTAAGTTTAATATAATTAATATAGTGAATGTGAGATGTTCTTAATTAGATAACAATCCTATCATTGATCAAAGCAGAATGGATGCATTTGTATTTGTAAGCTTTTTGGGCAAGAAGCAGGGCTATTTTAGTGTGTTGGAAAATTTAGCAATTATTTCAAGACAGCTTGTTTCATTAAACTATTCATCACACTTTATCAGGATTCAGTTGACATAGTATGATATTCATCTAGAACAGAAGCAAAAACCAGATTCCTCCTTGGGACCGTTGTGGAGGAAGAAGAGCGTACAAGGCTAGGGAGAGGTTAATCTTGTTTTCAGAATACACAGCTTATTTATTTATTAAATAAACAAACAAACTAGTTTAGTGTTAGATCTGAGCAAGCCCAGAAAGCTGTCAGTCAATAGCAGTATGGTGGTTTGAGAAGGAGGTTCGTTAAGTGGCCCTTAAATCATGTTTGAATTTAAAATATTGATACATGTAATTAATTAAAATGTGTTAGAATGTAAAAAAATATTTTGTATAATTGAAGGGAAGTCAAATGTAATGGATGCTCTTAGTTTTGTAATGGGAGAGAAGATATATAATTTGAGAGTGAAACGCATTCAGGAACTGATACATGGGGCACATGTAGGAAAGCCAGTTTCATCAACTGCAAGTGTCAAAATGGTGTACTGTGAAGAAAATGGGCAAGAGAAGATATTTTCAAGAATCATTCGAGGTGAGTAGTCTCAGTTCAAGTTTATTGTATTGGCTAAAAGCCGTCACAATAGTTTAAAATACAAATATGATCAAGTAAAATCATGATAAAATCACAGACGTATAAATAATTACACAAATCAACATACACTGTTCTACATAATTAACGTCATCTATTTTCTAAACCGCGCACACAATAATTAGAAAAAGTTTACTCACCTCGAATGATATTTTCAAGAATCATTCAAGGTGAGTAAGCTTTTTCTAATTGTGTGCGCAGTTTAGAAAATAGATGACGTTAATTATGTAGAACAGTGTATGTTGATTTGTGTAGTTAAATAAAATATATTTACTAACTATGGCTTTTCTGGGCTGAGAATGAAGTAAGCAAGTATGAGTAAGAAGCAAAGGCTTCACAGTGATACAAGACTGACACAATCTGATTACCCCAATCAATTTGTAAAGTAAGTGTGGGAAAATTTGGCAGTTCAGGAACCAATTTTCTATCCCAGAATCCTCTGGATTCACATGGGCTGTCAAAACTGGAAAAAAAATTGAAAGGACAAAACTCACAGGAGCTGTAAGTCCACTTTTGTTCTTAAATAGTTGATATTTTTGATATTAGATACAGTTAAGCCCTGCACATCAGGGACATGGTGGCGCTGTGGGCTAAACCGCAGAAGCCTGTGCTGCAGGGTCAGAAGACCAAGCAGTTGTAAGATCGAATCCACGCGACGGAGTGAGTGCCTGTCGCTTGTCCCAGCTCCCGCCAACCTAGCGGTTCGAAAGCATACAAATGCAAGTAGATAAATAGGTACCATCTCGGTGGGAAGGTAAACAGCGTTCCGTGTCTAAATCACACTGGCCATGTGACCATGGAAAGATTGTCTTCGGACAAACACTGGCTCTATGGCTTGAAGAGCGGGATGAGCGCTGCCCCCTAGGGTCGGACACGACTGGACAAAAATTGTCAAGGGGAACCTTTACCTTTACCTTTTTAAGCCCTGCACTCTGTTGCAAGGATGAATTCCATCTCCTAGTAGTAATAGTAGTAGTACAGTAGTGTTATTTTGTGCAATTTTTGGCAGAGGAGTCTAGATAAGTGTGTAAAAGCTGCAAGGGGCTGCAATAAGCTCCAGGGTTTCAGTTTGCCCACTAGTGTTGAGAGAATTTATGTAATCTTTTCAATTTTATGAATGTAGTTTAGAATATGACACTGTTTTCCTGTGGTTAGAAGGAGTGTGTAAATAATCAAAGGTAAGTGACCCTGTTTCCCTGAAAATGAGACAGGGTCTTATATTAATTTTTGCTCCAAAAAACACATTAGGGCTTATTTTCAGGGGATTATTCAAATACAGTCACTTCTTCTTCTGGTTGCTGCACAATGGTGGATGGTGGGGTTTCGTTTAACTAGGGCTTATTTTCAGCTTAAGTCTTATTTTCAGAGGGAAAGGGTACATAATATGGTAATCAAATGAAGAACAATTGTGATGACGCTCCCCCAGGCTGTACTGCTATTCTCTGCCTGCAGAATGTCAGTGTTTGCAAGGTGAGGACTTCACTCAAGAATTTAAGAGGTTGTCAGTCATTCTCTTAAGTCTTGGTGAATGAGAAAGGCCTTTTTACTGCAGGTCCTGATTCTGAGGAGTTTGGCTTCTCTGGGGTGGCTTTAGACTTTTATTGTTTGACCCAGCCTTTTCAGGAAGAGAGAAGTCAACAATTTGCTAACTGGTTTACTTCCCACTGATTAGAAGTGCATTTCTAGCTTCCCATTGTGTACGGGTTGGGCAAAATTAGTTTGTATTTGGTGTACAAAAGTAGCTAAGAGCCATGTTTCCCTCTATTGACCACAGGAGGACATAACAAGAAGGAATCTGCAGATAGCCTGCAGATAGCGGGTATTGCAGTGAAAATATATTTGGAATTTATTTGTCAGATATTGGGACTGTTGATATAACTTGATTAGTTGTATACAGTGGTGCCTCGCATTACGTTAATTCGTTTCAGCGAAATCGTTGTAGAACGAAAACGTAATGCGGAAATAAAAAGCCCATTGAAACGCATTGATACACCTTTAATGCGTTCCACTGGGCTGGAAACTCACTGTCCAGCAAAGATCCTCCATACGGCAGCCATTTTTTGTGCCTGTGCAGCGAGGGATCTGTCCCAGAAAACAGCGGGGAGCCATTTTATTTACCCGGTGGCCATTTTAAAACCGCCAATCAGCTGTCCGAAAATCGTCGTTTTGCGAGGAATCAGTTCTCGAAGTAGGGAACCGATCATCACAAAGCGAAAAACCCTATTCAGACCATCGTTTTGCGATCGCAATTGCAATCGCGAAAAGATCATCGTAATGCGGTTTAGTCGTAATGTGGGGTAGTTGTAATGCGGGGCACGACTGTATTTCTTAAAATGTATGCTAATTCTGTGGTTTCTTATGAACCAGGCAGTGGATCTGAGTTTCTTGTCAATGGCACTGTTGTCAACCGATCCGTATATATAAAAGAACTTGGTGATATTGGTATACTTGCTAAAGCAAGGAATTGCTTGGTTTTTCAGGTAAATGTTTATTATTCATATATTAGAAATTAAGACTACCCCCATGCCAGAGGTCTCTGTAGTATTCTTAGGAATGACATAGGACAGACTGAATTAGAGAAGACCCATTGAATCAGTGGGAATTTGGTGAATCAGCTCCTCTGCAAATTCCACTGATTCAAAGGACCTCCTCTAGTTGGTACTGACTTCTGAATTTCAGGCCTAGTATCTTGGAAGAACTGGTGCTAGATGAACGTAGTGGCCATACGTGACACATTTATCCAGCCATTACACTGAGCAATGCATTTAAATCGCATTGTATTCTTGTTTAACATATACCTTCTCAGGATCTCTCTCTCTCTCTCTCTCTCTCTCTCTCTCTGGGTCATGTGTGCACAGAAGGGTCACTTGAAATGAAATCACATCCAGCAGAGCAACCATTTTTACTGTTTCCAACGTGTTCCTACTACTGTATCTCATCATGCCATCTAAGTGACTCTGTTTACTGAAGCTTTAGCCTTACCTTTTGTGAGGGTCCAGCTTCACAGAAGGTCACCTGGAGCTCATTCATAAAGAAATGTGGCCCTGAAGTAGAAAACAACATTCCCGAACTCTAGCATGTAGAGTGAACAAGTGTGGCTCTTAGACTAATCTTGCAACTGAAAAACAGTTGGTTTGGTAAGAGGACGAGGAACCCTTTTCTGACCCTTTTCTGATGCCTGAAGTGAACTACCCCTCTCTAAATAAATGTCCGTATTTTATTTAAATATGATTAAATATTTCACATTTTGTTTAAACTGGGCAAAATGTCCCAAATGAATACAAAAGATGACTGTGTCTCTGCTTAATTTTATGCTGTCATTTTGTTGGGCCCACCCCTTAACTCTTTTCTTTGATTCTGTTGCAGAATGGAAATAATGTGGCCATGATACAGTACAGGGTGGATGATAAATGTTCCCAAAAAAAGTCTTCTCCAGAAGTCTTTTTACTCAGGATTCTCAAAAAGAAGGGGGTGGGAACCGGATGGGTCAAAGAACAGAACACTTTAATAAAGTATCTTGTTTATAAAGCTGGTACTGATGTTGTTTCTAAATATTTATATTTTGGTTTAATAGGTTCCATTGGATAATAATTAAATAAAGTTAATTTTTTAAAAAAATTCAGTCAACTCAGATGTTACATGATACAGTGGCTTGTATTAACTATGTGTTTGTTCTAAATGTGATTTTGAACAAAGTGTACATACTGGTGAACTGCAGCTGAGAGCTGGTTCTCTGTTTTAGCTTTAGCTTCCCATTTTTAATGGTCTCATTTCCGTAGTGCAACAGCCTCTGGAGAAGGTGTAACAGCCATGATTGTGGTTCCTCAGTTCAGACATTTATTCCAAACCATAGTTTATTAACTTGTCTCATGCCATGTCTGGTTTAGGCGATATTGAATCCATTTGTCTATCAGTGAATACCTCAGTTTCCTTAATCATTGTCTGATGTGATGTCTGGGCTGAATATTTCCTTTGATTATTGATAACCTATTTTGTTTCTGATGACAAGGTTTTGCCTCAGTTTCAGTAGGTTGTAATTTTGTAGTTTTTACTACTTTATTTTAGGGTGAGGTGGAAACCATTGCTATGAAGAAACCTAAGGAAAGAACTCAGCTTTTTGAACAGATTAGTAATTCAGGGGAGCTAGCTGCTGAATATGTAGAAAAAAAGAAGAATATGCAAAAAGCAGAGGAAGATGCTCAATTCAGTTACAACAAGAAGAAAAATGTTGCAGTTGAGCGCAAACGTGCTAAGTTAGAGAAGGAGGAGGTAATTGAGAGAGCAACACTGAACAATTAAAGAGGTTTTGTGCACTTTTTAACAATAATGTTTTGGGTTTATAGGTCAGTCTGAGGCATTACATGTTTTAAAAAAAGTTTCTTTGTTTTCAGTGGAAAGTCTTAATTTAGATCCCAGTATTTGAAATAATTTATTATTCAGATATAGCTAATATGAGCTATTCCCAAAAGAGGTTTAAAGCAAAAAGGCATAGTTGAAATGTTCTTAAAATGTTCAAGAATTCAGACTACAGATCCAACTTCTCTCCTTGGGCACATTGATACACAACTTTTGTATCTTACCTACTTTACCAATAAAATGCAAAAAGCTGCTTGCTACTTATATGCCGCTTCATAGCACTAAAGACACTCCCTGTGTGGTTTAGAATGTAATTATGCAGGTTACACATTCCCCCTCCCGCAAACTGGGTACAGTACTCCATTTGCCAACCTTGGAAGGATGGAAGGCTGAGTGAACATCGAGCCAGTTACCTGGGATTGAACCCGGGTCATGAACAAAGTTTTGGCTGCAGTTTAACTAATGTGCTATGAAGCTCTAACAAGAGGTTAGCTCTGCTGTTTTAATTCCTATAGGGGAAAAACATGTTTTTATCAAGGACTAAGCCTATTGAACTGCATGACCCGTGGCTGAGTTTTCTTACTTTTGGAAGTATAACTTGAATCATAATTTCTTCCTTTAAATGTAAATTTTATCCCTCTTGTCAATTTCACTACCATTTAAAATGAATGAATCCATAAATAACATTTTTGAGATAAGAGAAAATACTTAAACTCCACCATGTACATAACCCAGATCAGGAGCAACATAAGACCTTGAACCCACAAGCTCCTCCCATATAGTTCTGGTTGGATCTGTAAAAAAGCTGCACCCATTTTAAGCCCCTCTAGAAAAGACCCAACTATGGCTTCTACAAGAACCCCGTTCAGCTGTGGCTCAGATGAATAGAATCACCGGGGGGCGGGGAGGTTGGGGTTTTGGGCTGCCCTGCATTTCCCCCTTTCTGCTATTACTCTGTGTTCTAAGCCACACAGACAGAGTGCTCCTTCTTGCAAGAATCGTGATTGTCCAGGGTTTATCTTTTCATATAGAGCCTGCATGTGATCAGACACATCTCCATTCTAAATATATTGTTTTATATATTTTTGCATGTATGTTAACTGCCAGTAATATGGTTATCTACAGGCTGAACATTACCAGATATTATTGCAAGAGGTGCAAGAATGTAAGACGCAGCTGCAGCTTTTCCAGATGTATCACAATGAACAAAAAATTAACCTTCTTAACAGTAAATTGTCTGCAAAAAACATGAAGATTGATGATAAAAAGACTGTTGTTTCTCATGCTGAAGACACTGTAAAGGCCAAGAAAAAAGCTCTTGGAATATTAATTAGAAACCAGCAGCATATTGAAAAAGAAATAAAGTAAGTGTTTAAGTATTAGGGAAATACATTGGCATGGGCGTTCTGTGTCAGAAGTTACATGATGGATGTTCCTGGAATTATCCCATTTCCTTCTGTTGTAACTTAATTGTTACTTCACGTTCCAGTTCTGGTTGTGTCTGTCTTCAGGCAGCTGATGCCCACTACTTGTTTTTTTTCTGACATAAAGATTTTTTATGAAATGTGCAGAAAAAATGTGGCATTTCTTGTGTTCAGCTCAGATCGAATAAAAGGAATGAGGTTACCAGCAGTGGGAACATACTGTGCCACCTTACAGCAAATCAGTAGGGTGGCATGGCGGCAACACAGCATTCATTGCATGGTCCCAAACCCTTTATTCCTCGCAGATACTACCCTGGGGGTACCATCATAACTACCCTCTCATAGTCCGCTGTCCATCTGAAGAGATCTCTTCAGTAAAGGGGAAGGGAGGTGATTTGTGTAGACAGTTGGTAAGACACTCAGTTGCCATGTTAACTTACAGTAATATACCTGCCCCCCATCCTCTGTAGCACCAGCAGGTTAAAATGCCAGATTCCCATGCCAGCAGAGTTAGGATGTACTAAAGCAGAAGATCATTCTGTGGATTATATCATAATGCATATGTTGCTTAAGTCTCCTAAACATAAGTGACATATCCCATATCCAGATGATGCCCAGTACAGTACTACAATACAACCCCATTCTGGCTTCCTTCCTTACCTGATGTGGCTTCAAGTCCACTGTGTTTTGAGATGTGAAACAACTTCATTGGAAAGTGACTGATATATCCTCTGTTCAGGTCTCTGGAAGTTCTGCTGAGTCAAAAAAGGCCTCAGTATATTAAAGCAAAGGAGAGAACCTCTCATCAGATTAAAAAAGTAGATACAGCTAAGAAAGCCTTGAAAGATCATATGAAAGAGCTGGCTAAGCAAGAAGGAAACAGAAAAGAACTGCAGACGGAACTGTCTGACATTGATAAAGCCTATAGAGCATTTGAGAAAAAGATTGAAGAGGAGACAGTGCATGGAGAAAGCGATGTGTTGCTAGAAGAGAACCAGGTACGTTTGAAGACAAACCAAAATGTATACAGGGTGTTCAAGTTTTTGCTAGTTACAAATATGTATTTTAACTCATCAAAAGGTTATCATTTTCAGTAATGCATTTGTTGCAGTGGTGCTCTGCACTGAATATTTTGAAAACCTTGACTTCAGAGTAATTCTAAAGTTGGGAACATGAGACCAAGACAATATTTTCTATGTATATTTCAGTTCATTTTAAATCCGTGGCTTCCAGCTTTGGGTAACCGAGACGTTCTTGGACTGCAACTCCCAGAACCATGGCCAGCACAGCTAGTGGTGAAGGCTTCTGGGTATTGTAGTCCAAGAACCACCTGGGTTATAGTGTGAGTGCCGGCCTTGATAAAGTGGGGCTGTTCACTCTAATGAGCAACCTTCTCCAAGGCTTGCAGGGCTTAAGGTAAGATACTGCTTGGATACACAGACAGTTTACATTTGCAGAACATTCTCATTAGGATTGCATTTGTTTCATTATTCCATGTTTTGCCATTCCCATCAGTACTAAAGAAGAGGTTGAAACACTCAGCAAGCATTTGCAGGTTTTGACTGAATCCTGACTGGGACTAAACTGATGCCTGCAAATACTGGCTACTGGTGGGACTAGCTTTGCTCTTGCCATCTATCTCCAGGTAGGGAAGGAGAAAGGAGCAAAACACTCTCTGGTGGTGCCTGTAGAGTCTAAGAGAGAACACACTCTTCACATTGTCACCAGAAACCCCAAGGGTGGTTGTCTTGCACATTGTAACATGTCTGGACATGTCATTTTTTTGTGGAGCTACTGCTTAGCAAATTGGCATCTTTGTAATACAGTGGTGCTTCGCTTGACGATTACTTCATTAGACGAGGAAATCGCTTGCCGATTGTTTTTTCACGATCGCTAAGTGATGACTGAATGGGCTTTTTTGCTTAATGTTGATCGGTTCCCTGCTTCGGGAACTGATTTTTCACTTAACGGTGATCAAAAACAGCTGATCGTTGGGTTTCAAAATAGCCGCCCACTATGCTTTAGGACAGATTCCTCGCATTACAGGCACCAGAAAATGGCCACCCTATGGAAGATCTTCACTGGACGCTGAGGTATTTTGCCCATTGGAAAGTATTGAACCAGTTTGAATGCATTTCAATGGGCTTTTTCAATTCGCTTGACGAGGATTTCGCATAACAGCGATTTGAACAGAAGGAATTATCCTCGTCAAACGAGACACCATTGTAGTTTGCATATTAGAAATCTGGGATAAAAATTGATATTCACTTTGATGTGCCATGCTGTTTTCTTCATTATATTATTTTGGCATTGTTTTGGCATCTAAGTAGTATTGCGCAGATGGCCATGTTGAAGGAGTTCAGATTAACAGCCACAATGGGTAGCAGTCATGTATCTCTACAGCGACATAATGGTTGCAATTGTTGGAAAGTCGCTAAAATGGGAAACTTGTACATGGTTTAAAAAAGGGGAGAAGGCAAGCCTGGTATGCAATATAAAATCATAGTGCAAAAGTGAGGACTAAAAAAAATAAGAAAACTAGGTTTGAGAAGGGTGAATTGTCAAAGCAAAGACAGAAGGAGGGAGGGAGGGAGTGAAGTAAGCGGGGAGAAGGCAAAACTGATTCAGCTTTGTCTGCCTTTTGCTTTGTAAATTTTTAAGTATTATTTTAAAATTTATTTTGAAAAATAAAAATACTAGGAAGCACTGCCATAGAAACATGGAGGCGTGAGAAGTGTAGGCAGGTAAAACAAGAGAGGGAGGGGGGAAAAGGTGAGGTAGATGTGGAGAGGATGGAGAAGGTAGTTAAAAGGGGGTGGCAATCTGTTGGGAAGGAGAGCTCAGAGAAAAATTCTGGTTCTGTATGGATAGGCAGTACTGGGAGGGCCCAGTGCATCCCATTAAACCCAGCAACAAATACCCCCACCCCAATTGTGTGGGCATCAATAACAAGATACCCTCTTCAGATCTACAACACAAAATTACAAAAGGGCAAAGAGCAACTCCATAGTGACGAGGGCAACATGGCATGAATAAGTCCTAAGCTAAATTTAGAGATTTGTTAAAACAGGCCTTCTGAACCCATAACATATCTCACCGATCACTACCCAGGAGCCTGAGTTCCATCATGAGGCAAACAAAAAACCTATTTTTCAACAAGGGAACCTTTATATATTTGTGTGTAACACTTGTCACTTGCGAGCAAGGGGAATGGGTTTGGGGCTAGGAGCAACAGTGAAATATATTACAGTAGGACTGCTGTATCTGCGAGAGCAGTACCCACAGTTTAACTTAACCACCACCTAAAAATATTAAATAAAAAACCTCAAACAACATATGTTTCTAAGCTATATTGCCAGAAATTGCCACTGAAGGGAACCATATAGGGTTTCTATTTTAGCGTTTTCCAGCAACGGGGGGGGGGGCTTGGAACTGACCCCCCCTCCCCACAGATACTGTGGTTATACTGTGCTAAGCATACCCAGAGTTGGATAATCCATGGCAAGCAGGGCTGTTTGCAGGAGTAGCTGGAGACTGAGGGAAGGAGATTATTATGAACACTTCCAGTCTTACCTAGTCTGTTTCTGTGTCTTACCAGAAGAACGAGAATCACTGGTGTAAGAATATATTTGGTGAACTCTCATTTGAAATATTGATAACATATCCTCTTGACATAATTGCATGGAATTAGCACCAATGAAAGCTTCAGGGTCTTGAAATGGAGAAGTACAGGACTGCATGGTAACATTTCAGCTTTGATGCAAACAGTGATTAATTGCCCTGCTTGGTCATGTTTATGTGCTTGCATTCAGATAAGCAAATACAAGGAGCTAAAAGAACTGGTGAGGAAGAAAGTGGCTATATTGACTCAGCAGCTGGAAAAACTGCAGTGGGAACAAAAGGCAGATAAAGAAAAGATGACATTTGATCAGCGGAGAGAGAAAGAGACTGAGGTACTTGTAAATATCAGGGTAGAACTGAAGACGGGCAGGGGCTGAGTCTTCTAAAATCATTGGCCTCCTTGATTTTGTGTTTTCTGTACATAATGCTGCTTGAGAAATGTTTGTGCAGTTTTCTCCACCCAACTTCCGCAGTGCAGATAGGGTGTTTTCATATTTCCAGTTTCATTGGCTCATATCACCATGGGAGTTCCTTTTACTCTGCCTGTAGACCTGCGGTCCCCAACCTTTTTGGGACCACGGACCGGCTGAGCCTCTGAGGAAGGCGGGGTACCCCCGTGTGCGCACAAGTGTGCGCACGTGCTCGGGTGCATGCACGAAGTGGTGGGAGAGCTCCCATCCACCAGCACTGGCGTGAGCGCTCCCCTACCCCTTTGCGCATGCAGAGGACCACCTGCATGCCCACCCTCGTGCTTGCCTACCTTTTCGCGTGGGTGCTCGGGCGCATGTGTGAAGGGTGATGGAGTGCTTCTGCTGGCGCGTACATGCAAAACAGCTGTGGGGAGGGGGTGTGCATGGGGGGAGCGGGGGGTCTGTCTCTGTGGCCTGGTCTGGCTCAGGCCATGAACCAGCACTGGGCTGCGGATCGGGGGTTGATGACCTCTGCTGTAGACAGCCTCAAGAGGGATGAATTGACAAAGGCTACATTGAGTATGATCCTTGTGTTTCAGTCTCAAAGTTGATGGAAACAGTGGAGTGTCAGGAAAGCTGTATGATTGCCTATGTACGGTAGTATTGGCAAGGGAATAGTTTTCCTGTTGATTATGGGTTATCTGTCAGCAGCAATACTTATCAAGGAGTGGGTTTGTCTGCCTTGTTTTGGGAGTCAGGTTGTACAAATCAGTTAGTACTTAGGCTCTTAAGTCACTGGAGCCTTTACCAATATCATCTTGTCATAGTAGTGGCTGCATTTGATGTTTGCTTTTCTTGACCTGATGAGAGACTTTTCATTCTGCTCTCTGGCCACATCAAGTAGAGATCCACTCCTGTTTGAAACAGTTCTGAGCCTCCCAGGCAGGAAGTATCCTCTTTCCATGCAGCAGTAATGCTGATTGCTCTTTTTATAATTCATTCTTTTATTTAGCCATTTTTAGTTAATAGGGACAACAATAAGCAGAATGCTTTTCCTAGTCATGTATTTCTGTACACAGATATCTATAGTAGGTATGTGTATAGATGTACTTACATGTACAGTACAGTGGTGCCTCACTAAACGCTTACCCTGCATAACGTCAAAATCGCTTAATGGTGACTTTTTTGCGATCGCTATTGCAATCGCAAAACGATGGTTCCAGTGGGGGAAATCCGCATTACGTTGATTAGGAGCCTGCTTCACAAACCGTTTGTTCGCTATATGACAATTTTTCGGGTTCCGCAAAATGCCTGCTTTCCGGACCCCTGCTTCGGAAGACAGCGATTTTTAACAGTTGATCGGTGGTTCTCTATGGGCAGTCTTCGCTGGACGATGAGGTATTTCCCCATTGGAATGCATTGACTGGCTTTGAATGCATTCCAATGGTGTTTTTTTTCACTTGACGATTTCGCTTAACAGCGATTTTCCTGGAATGGATTACTGTCGTCAAGCGGGGCACCACTGTATATGAATGTATGCATATACATACATGCACTCACTGTCCACACACCCCTCCCATATATATAAGTATATACACACACACACATATAAACATATATATGTGTGTGTGTACACAGAGCCTAACTTAATCTAAAGAATCTCTTTGGGTTTAGAATAAGATATTTTGTCAGATCCCTTGAAAAATACCAAGCAGCCATCCTATAGCAAGTAAAATAATGAAAAGTCCCTAAAGCAATTCCCTGGAAGTCCCCGCTTGAATTGTGTGCTTAATAAGGTTCTCTCTTGAACTTTTTGACAGTTCACAGATATCTTGTTTCAATGGACATGATATTTCTTTCTGTTCTTATAAGATGCCTTTTTAGTCAAACGGGCCACATCTTTATAAAATTGTAGATACAAATGTTTTTTGCAGTCTTCTTTTGTGAACTGCAAGACAAGAGTGACGTTGACCTTCACTCCCATGTACACTGAGCACAGATCAAAAATCAATACTGTATATTATTCCCAGGCTCTCCCAGGTGTAATATTTTTTGTACTGTTCCTGATTTTGCACTGATTACCAATATTTTTCTTGCCATCCATATGATGTTTGTCTTGTCCCTGTTAGAAAAGTGACAGAACATGTGACTTTTTTGCCCCATCCTGAGGGATGATTTGTTTTTCTTATCTCAGTATGTTTCTGGGGGAAGAGATTAGTGCTTCACTGTGTAAGTTCATTCCAAAAGTCAAAAGCTCTAGCTAGAAGCTTTTAATTTCATTTCCAATTGGGCTGTTGTTTAGCTTTCAACATGGGGGGGGGGGAGTTGGAGAAGAGAAACGCAAGAAAGGATGTGGATTTCTTCATATTTTTAAATAGATATCTGAAGTTTTCCTGACATGAATGTTTCTCAGAGAAGTGGCTTTTAAAATAGAGCTTGGAGGCAAATTCCAATAAGCTTCATATTGTTTTGTGACCAGCTGAGACAAAGTGGTGGAAGTTGCGACCTTCCTAGAAGAGCCTTACAGTGATGCCTCGCATTACGACGTTAATTTGTTCCAGTGAAATCGCTGTAGAATGAAAACATCGTAATGCGAAATTAAAAAGCCCATAGAAACACATTAAAACCGATTTAATGAGTTCCTAGGGGCTTGAAACTCACCGTCCAGCGAAGATCCTCCATAGGGCAGCCATTTTCACTGCCTGTGCAGTGAGGAATCCGTCCCAGAAAAGAGCGGGGAGCCATTTTTTTAAAAATCCAGTGGCCATTTTGAAACCACCGATCAGCTGTTTTAAAATCATCGTTTTGTGAGAGTCGGTTCCCGAAGCAGGGAACCAATCATCGTAAAGCGAAATTCCCCATTGAAACTATCGTAAAGCGATCGCTTTTGCTATCACAAAAAGTTTGTCGTAATGCGGTTTCGTCGTTAAACGGGGTGCCTGTCTTGGGAGGCATCACTGTATATTATATCCCTCAAATAATATATGATGCACACTACTGTGCAAGGCAGTATTCTCTTGGATCCCCTCTAAGCTTTCTGGCAAGAAGGTGCCCCTTTTGAAACACTAAGAATTAAAGTGATACTGTTTTAGAAAACAGATACAGAATAGGAGTTTCTTCTACGTGGCCTTTGTGAATCCACACAACTGAGTTTAGCCTGCGATTGTGCTGGATCCTCGGAATATTCTAGAGCTTAAATAAGAAACATTAGTAGCACGTTGTCCCCTACCATGCATGCTCTGCCTGCCCGTGTACCTCAGTTCCTTTTTGCCACAGTTGTGATTGGAACCTCTTTGCTAGAGCTTTTCTAATTTTCGCCTTCTGGTTACGATCTTGTTTCGGATTTCGATTTATTGCTTGATTCTCTCTACGACTTTGATAACAGATTGCCTTTGACTTTGATTCTGCCTTCTGGACTTTTTGTACATTGTTCCCTGGCTGGATTTTGGACTGGTTACCGTTTCCCACCTTTTCTGTACGGACTAACTACTTCATTCATAGTGATTTCTCAGCTTGATTCGGTCTGATTTGGCTTCCCCTTTCAATCAGCGATCTCTGGACTTGTTTAAATACCTCATTCATAACTATCTCTCTTGGCTGGATTCGGACGGTTTTACTTCCCTTTTTGATTAGTGATTTGGACTTGTTCAGTTACCTCGTTTTTAGCGATCTTTCGGCTTGATTCGGACTGCTTTGATACTCTTTAGATTAAGATCTCTGGACTTGTTTTCCTTTGGTTCAATCAGCGATTCCTGCTCTTTCTCCATTTTTGAACTTCTCATTGATCTGTGAGTTGTTTTGCCCTTGATTGTATCTCTCTGGGGTTTTAACTGATTTATGGCCTCCTCAGGCCCATTCAAGTGGTGTATTTCCTGTGCCGCCAAGATACCCTTCACTGACGGCCATGACCACTGCTTATACTGTTTAGGGGAAGGACATCAACCCCAGGTCTGCCCTCAGTGTAAAAAGCTCTCCAAGCCTGCCTTAAAATCATGTGAACAAAGGCTTAGAGCGTACCTTTGGAGTAAATCTCTTTCTCCCACAAACCATCAGTGAAGTTGACCTCAGCTCAGCCGTCTACCCCCCCGTCCCAAGCCCGTTGTGTCATCCTTACCAGCTACTCTGTCATCAAAATATCTGACAAAGTCCACCGAGAAATCCTCGGAATCGGTGTAAAAAAATATCTTTGACCCCTGTTTCAGTGTCAGCTCAAAAGCACGTGCCTTCGGAAAGCCTAAAGAAAAAGAAAATGTCAGTCAAACACAAGAAACACAAGCAGAACAAGCCTTCTTCAAGGGATCGATCCCGTGATCTGCCACCGATCTCAGCGTCTCTGCTGTCTCCAATATTGGAGGAGTCATCCAGAGACCTGCCTAACACTGAATCTATCTCGGACGGTGATACTTCTGTTTGTCGTTGAATGACTCAGGCTTTGGTGTTGTTACCGAAACACACTCCGAGTCCGAACCGTATGCAGGCTGAAATTGTCTCCAGCTGTGCTTCTGCCCATTCTAGCCCTGTATCTACCAGGCGGGCGATTGTGATAAGATTATCAAACTCAGAGGAGTCTTTACGTCAGGCATCTCCTAGAAAGAAAGCTGCAAAGAGGAAGCACACCTCTCCATCTCGACGCCAGTCCTCATATAGAGAAGGGGTAGTGCTTCCTCAAGACTCTCGATGACGAGTGTCATCTTACTATGACGACCCTGTTTATGTTGAAGTTGAGTACAGGGATGGTGGTCGTCATTATCGTGAAGATTACTAAAGTCAAGAGCTATTGCAAACGCAGAAGAGTTAGGTATAGCTATGCCTCCTCTTCTTCTCCATCTCCTTCGCCACCTTGACGTCAACATAGATCGACCTATGAGGTCGAGATTCTGATGTCGAAATCCACCAGACACTGGGTTTTACATCGGGACTCT